TTTTTTTTTTTGATATTTGTCTCCATATTCCTCATATTCCATTTATGTTTCATTCTTTGCTTTTGTTTTGTTTCTTTTTGCGGGGGTTTAGATTCGCAGCCACATCAGGAAGAGAACGCAAAACTCGTTGAATGACATCAATTCCTCATCATCCTCGCCCTTCCGCAGGTGGCGGCGGATGTGGAACGGCGTCACGTGCTCGAACAGGCGGTCCACACACCTCTCGCTGCAGGGCGCGCCGTAGTTGGAGAAGCCGGAGAGCATCATCTCCCGCATCACCCCTCGCTCTACGCCGCCGCGCTGGTGCACGTCGAACGCCTCGTACAACTCCCGCAACATCTCCTCTGTAACACCAGTCACACCGATCATGTCGAATGAAATGCGCGTCGGCGCGGCGGGGGCGTCAAGGGNACATCTCCTCTGTAACACCAGTCACACCGATCATGTCGAATGAAATGCGCGTCGGCGCGGCGGGGGCGTCAAGGGTGCCCTTCTCGTTGACGGTGAGGATCGTTGAGGTCGCGCCGTCGCTATCGTTGTACATAAGAATACGGCCAACGGCACTGCCAGTCGAAGACTGCCCAGATGCGGAACTGTTCGGGCGGCTGCAGTTTGTCATGAGCCGCTCCACTAGCTCGGAGCCAACAGAGGGGGTCGTAGCCTCGACGAGTTCCGATGCCATACTGACGGTGGTGGTAATATGAGTAGTGGTAGTGGTGGTAATATTAGTTGTGGTGCTAATGTCGGTCGCTGAGGGGGCGCGCTTCTTGTGTATTGAATATCTCACGGGAAGCCGGGGGCTATACGTATATATATATACCTGACGTTCGTCACAGCCACGAAAGGTTTAAACAAGAACAACAAAAAAAAAAAACAGGGAAATCAAGCGTAATGTAGGTCAGACACGTAAAAGAAAAACCGCATGAGCAACGAATAAGAGCGGCTTCCCACCCACACAACCCCTACAAAAAGGCAGTCACCGAAGGAAATAAACAGGAAAAGATACGTAATTAAAGAAGCACACACACACAC